CATCGGACAAAAGTTCATTGATTTCATCGCCAGATGACGAAAGCATGACGGCTTTCCACTGGTCGTCTTTAGAAGGTCATCTCGAGTTCAGCAAATGGCTGCTAGAAGAATACAAGAATTACAAGTCAGAATCTGATCCGCTGTTACACACAATACGAGATAATGATGGAAAAACGCCTCTTCTGCTGCCTCTGCTGAGTAATCATCTTGAAATTGTTAGTTTGCTCAACAGCATTGACCTGGCTTGTATGAAATTACAAAACAAAGACAATTTAAGCGTACTTCATGTCGCAGCTGCAAATGGCAAAACTGAAATAGCTTCGGTTCTCTTGAAATCGGGAACTCATCGGACAAAAGTTCACTAATTTCATCGCCAGATGACAAAGGCATGACGGCTTTCCACTGGTCGTGTTCAGAAGGTAACCTCGAGTTCAGCAAATGGCTGCTAGAAGAATACAAGAATTACAAGTCAGAATCTGATCCGCTGTTACACACAATTCAATATAACAATGGAATCACGTCTCTTGTGCTGGCTGTGCTGAGAAATCATCTTGAAATTGTTGGTTGGCTCGCCAACATTGATCTGGCTTGTATGAATTTACAAAACACAGACAAATTAAGCGTACTTCATGTCGCAGCTGCAAATTGCAAAACTGAAATTGCTTCGGTTCTCTTAAAATTGGTGAACTCATTGGTTAAACGTTCACTGATTTCATCGCCAGATGACAAAGGCATGACGGCTTTCCACTGGTCGTGTTCAGAAGGTAATCTCGAGTTCAGCAAATGGCTGCTAGAAGAATACAAGAATTACAAGTCAGAATCTGATCCGCTGTTATACACATTTCAATATAACAATGGAATCACGCCTCTTGGGCTGGCTGTGCTGAGAAATCATCTTGAAATTGTTGGTTGGCTCGCCAACATTGATCTGGCTTGTATGAATTTACAAAACACAGACAAATTAAGCGTACTTCATGTCGCAGCTGCAAATTGCAAAACTGAAATTGCTTCGGTTCTCTTAAAATTGGTGAACTCATTGGTTAAAAGTTCACTGATTTCATCGCCAGATGACAAAGGCATGACGGCTTTCCACTGGTCGTGTTCAGAAGGTAATCTCGAGTTCAGCAAATGGCTGCTAGAAGAATACAATAATTACAAGTCAGAATCTGATCCGCTGTTACACACAATTCAATATAACAATGGAATAACGCCTCTTGTGCTGGCTGTGCTGAGAAAACATCTCGAAAATGTTGGTTGACTCGCCAGCATTGATCTGGCTTGTATGAAATTACAAAACACAGACAAATTAAGCGTACTTCATGTCACAGCTGCAAATGGCTAAACTGAAAATGCTTCGGTTCTCCTAAAATCGGTGAACTCATCGGACAAAAGTTCATTGATTTCATCGCCAGATGACAAAGGCGTGACGGCTTTCCACTGGTCGTGTTCAGAGGGTCATCTCGAGTTCAGCAAATGGCCGTAGAAGAATACAAGAATTACAAGTCAGAATCTGATCCGCTGTTACACACAATTCAATATAACAATGGAACCACGTCTCTTGTACCGGCTGTGCTGAGAAATCATCTTGAAATTGTTGGTTGGCTCGCCAGCATTGATCTGGCTTGTATGAAATTACAAAACACAGACAAATTAAGCGTACTTCATGTCGCAGCTGCAAACTGCAAAACTGAAATTGCTTCGGTTCTCTTAAAATCGGTGAACTCATCGGTTAAAAGTTCATTGATTTCATCGCCAGATGACGAAGGCATGACGGCTTTGAACTGGTTGTGTTCAGAAGGTCATCTCGAGTTGAGCAAATGGCTGCTAGAAGAATACAAAAATTACAAGTCAGAACCTGACCCGCTGTTACACACAATTCAAAATAACAATGGAATCACGCCTCTTGTGCTGACTGTGCTGAGAAATCGTCTTGAAATTGTTGGTTGGCTCGCCAGCATTGATCTGGTTTGTATGAAATTACAAAACAAAGACAATTTAAGCGTACTTCATGTCGCAGCTGCAAATGGCAAAACTGAAATTGCTTCGGTTCTCTTGAAATCGGTGAACTCATCGGACAAAAGTTCACTGATTTCATCGCCAGATGACAAAGGCATGACGGCTTTCCACTGGTCGTGTTCAGAAGGTAATCTCAAGTTCAGCAAATGGCTGCTAGAAGAATACAAGAATTACAAGTCAGAATCTGATCCGCTGTTATACACAATTCAATATAACATTGGAATCACGCCTCTTGGGCTGGCTGTGCTGAGAAATCATCTTGAAATTGTTGGTTGGCTCGCCAGCATTGATCTGGCTTGTATGAAATTAGAAAACAAAGACAAATTAAGCGTACTTCATGTCACAGCTGCAAATGGCTAAACTGAAAATGCTTCGGTTCTCCTAAAATCGGTGAACTCATCGGACAAAAGTTCACTGATTTCATCGCCAGATGACAAAGGCATGACGGCTTTCCACTGGTCGTGTTCAGAAGGTAATCTCAAGTTCAGCAAATGGCTGCTAGAAGAATACAAGAATTACAAGTCAGAATCTGATCCGCTGTTATACACAATTCAATATAACATTGGAATCACGCCTCTTGGGCTGGCTGTGCTGAGAAATCATCTTGAAATTGTTGGTTGGCTCGCCAGCATTGATCTGGCTTGTATGAAATTAGAAAACAAAGACAAATTAAGCGTACTTCATGTCGCAGCTGCAAATGGCAAAACTGAAACTGCTTCGGTTCTCTTAAAATCGGTGAGCTCATCGGACAAAAGTTCATTGATTTCATCGCCAGATGACAAGGGCATGACGGCTTTCCACTGGTCGTGTTCAAAAGGTCATCTCGAGTTCAGCAAATGGCTGCTAGAAGAATACAAGAATTACAAGTCAGAATCTGATCCGCTGTTACACACAATACGAGATGTTGATGGAATCACGCCTCTTGTGCTGGCTGTGCTGAGAAATCATCTTGAAATTATTGGTTGACTCGCCAGCATTGATCTGGCTTGTATGAAATTACAAAACAAAGACAAATTAAGCGTACTTCATGTCGCAGCTGCAAATGGCAAAACTGAAACTGCTTCGGTTCTCTTAAAATCGGTGAGCTCATCGGACAAAAGTTCATTGATTTCATCGCCAGATGACAAGGGCATGACGGCTTTCCACTGGTCGTGTTCAAAAGGTCATCTCGAGTTCAGCAAATGGCTGCTAGAAGAAAACAAGAATTACAAGTCAGAATCTGATCAGATGTTACACACAATTCAATATAACATTGGAATCACGGCTATTGTGCTGGATGTGCTGAGAAATCATCTTGAAATTATTGGCTGGATCGCCAGCATTGATCTGGCTTGTATGAAATTAGAAAACAAAGACAAATTAAACGTACTTCATGTCGCAGCTGCAAATGGCAAAACTGAAATTGCTTCGGTTCTCTTAAAATCGGTGAACTAATCGGAGAAAAGTTCATTGATTTCATCGCCAGATGACGAAGGCATGACGGCTTTCCACTGGTCGTGTTCAGAAGGTCATCTCAAGTTCAGCAAATGGCCGTAGAAGAATACAAGAATTAAAAGTCAGAATCTGATCCGCTGTTACGCACAATTCAAAATGACAATGGAATCACGTCTCTTGTGCTGGTTGTGCTGAAAAATCATCTTGAAATTGTTGGTTGGCTCGCCAGCATTGATCTGGCTTGTTTGAAATTACAAAACACAGACAAATTAAGCGTACTTCATGTCGCAGCTGCAAATGGCAAAACTGAAATTGCTTCGGTTCTCTTAAAATCGGTGAACTCATCGGACAAAAGTTCTTTGATTTCATCGCCAGATGACAAAGGCATGCCGGCTTTCCACTGGTCGTGTTCAGAAGGTCATCTCGAGTTCAGCAAATGGCTGCTAGAAGAATACAAGAATTACAAGTCAGAATCTGATCCTCTGTTACACAAAATTCAATATAACAATGGAATCACGCCTCTTGTGCTGGCTGTGCTGAGAAATCACCTTGAAATTGTTGGTTGACTCACCAGCATTGATCTGGCTTGTATTAAATTACAAAACAAAGACAAATTAAGCGTACTTCTTGTCGCAGCTGCAAATGGCAAAACTGAAATTGCTTCGTTTCTCTTAAAATCGGTGAACTCGTCGGACAAAAGTTCATTGATTTCATCGCCAGATGACAAAGGCATGACGGCTTTCCACTGGTCGTGTTCAGAAGGTCATCTCGAGTTCAGCAAATGGCTGCTAGAAGAATACAAGAATTACAAGTCAGAATCTGATCAGCTGTTACACACAATTCAATATAACACTGGAATCACGGCTATTGTGCTGGATGTGCTGAGAAATCATCTTGAAATTGTTGGCTGGATCGCCAGCATTGATCTGGCTTGTATGAAATTAGAAAACAAAGACAAATTAAGCGTACTTCATGTCGCAGCTGCAAAGGGCAAAACTGAAATTGCTTCGGTTCTCTTAAAATCGGTGAACTCATCGGACAAAAGTTCATTGATTTCACCACCAGATGACGAAGGCATGACGGCTTTCCACTGGTCGTGTTCAGAAGGTCATCTCGAGTTCAGCAAATGGCTGCTAGAAGAATACAAGAATTACAAGTCAGAATCTGATCCGCTGTTACACACAATTCAGTATAACAATGGAATCACGCCTCTTATGCTGGCTGTGCTGAGAAATCACCTTGAAATTGTTGGTTGACTCGCCAGCATTGATCTGGCTTGTATTAAATTACAAAACAAAGACAAATTAAGCGTTCTTCATGTCGCAGCTGCAAATGGCAAAACTGAAAATGCTTCGTTTCTCTTAAAATCGGTAAACTCATCGGACAGTAGTTCATTGATTTCATCGCCAGATGACGAAGGCATGACGGCTTTCCACTGGTCGTGTTTAGAAGTTCATCTCGAGTTCAGTAAATGGCTGCTAGAAGAATACAAGAATTACACGTCAGATTCCGATCCACTGTTACACACAATTCAAAATAACAAGGGAATCATGCCTCTTGTGCTGGCTGTGCTGAGAAATTATCTTGAAATTGTTGGTTGGCTCGCCAGCATTGATCTGGCTTGTATGAAATTACAAAACAAAGACAATTTAAGCGTACCTCATGTCGCCGCTGCAAATGGCAAAAATGAATTTGCTTCGGTTCTCTTAAAATCGGTGCACTCATCGGACAAAAGTTCATTGATCTCATCGCAATATGACGAAGGCATGACGGCTTTCCACTGGTCGTGTTCAGAAGGTCATCTCGCGTTCAGCAAATGGCTGCTAGAAGAACACAAGAATTACAAGTCAGAATCTGATCCGCTGTTACGCAAGATACGAGATAATGATGGAAAAACGCCTTTTATGCTGGCTCTGCTGAGTAATCATCTTGAAATTGTTAGTTGGCTCGCCAGCATTGATCTGGCTTGTATGAAATTACAAACAAAGACAAATTAAGAGTACTTCATGTCGCAGCTGCAAATGGCAAAACTGAAATTGCTTCGGTTCTCTTAAAATCAATGAACTCATCGGACAAAAGTTCATTGATTTCATCGCCAGATGACGAAGGCATGACGGCTTTCCACTGGTCGTGTTTAGAAGGTCATCTCGAGTTCAGCAAATGGCTGCTAGAAGAATACAAGAATTACAAGTCAGAGTCTGATCCGCTGTTCCACACAATTCAATATAACAATGGAATCACGCCTCTTGTGCTGGCTGTGCTGAGAAATCATCTTGAAATTGTTGGTTGGCTCGCCAGCATTGATCTGGCTTGTATGAAATTACAAAACAAAGACAAATTAAGCGTACTTCATGTCGCAGCTGCAAATGGAAAAACTGAAATTGCTTCGGTTCTCTTAAAATCGGTGAACTCATCGGAAAAAAGTTCATTGATTTCATCGCCAGATGATGAAGGCATGACGGTTTTCCACTGGTCGTGTTCAGAAGGTCATCTCGAGTTCAGCAAATGGCTGCTAGAAGAATACAAGAATTACGAGTCAGAATCTGATCCGCTGTTACACACAATTCAATATAACAATGGAATCAGGCCTCTTGTGCTGGCTGTGCTGAGAAGTCATCTTGAAATTGTTGGTCGGCTCGCCAGCATTGATCTGGCTTGTATGAAATTACAAAACAAAGACAAAATAAGCGTACTTCATGTCGCAGCTGCAAATGGCTAAACTGAAATTGCTTCGTTTCTCTTAAAATCGGTGAACTCATCGGACTAAAAATCATTGACTTCTCCGCCAGATGACAAAGGCGAGACGGCTTTCCACTGGTCGTGTTTAAAAGGTCATCTCGAGTTCAGCAAATGACTGCTAGAATAATGAATAATCCAATAATTACAAGTCAGAATCTGATCCGCTGTTACACACGACACGAGATACTGATGGAAAAACGCCTTTTATGCTGGCTGTGCTGAGAAATCATCTTGAAATTGTTGGTTGGCTCGCCAGCCTTGATCTGGCTTGTATGAAATTACAAAACAAAGACAAATTAAGCGTACTTCATGTCGCAGCTGCAAATGGAAAAACTGAAATTGCTTTGGTTCTCTTAAAATCGGTGAACTCATCGGAAAAAAGTTCATTGATTTCATCGCCAGATGATGAAGGCATGACGGCTTTCCACTGGTCGTGTTCAGAAGGTCATCTCGAGTTCAGCAAATGGCTGCTAGAAGAATACAAGAATTTTAAGTCAGAATCTGATCCGCTGTTACACACAATTCAATATAACAATGGAATCACGCCTCTTGTGCTGGCTGGGCTGAGAAATCATCTTGAAATTGTTGGTTGGCTCGCCAGCATTGATCTGGCTTGCATGAAATTACAAAACAAAGACAAATTAAGCGTACTTCATGTCACAGCTGCAAATGGCAAAACTGAAATTGCTTCGCTTCTCTTAAAATCGGTGAACTCATCGGACAAAAGTTCATTGATCTCATTGCTAGATGACGAAGGCATGACGGCTTTCCACTGGTCGTGTTTAGAAGGTCATCTCGAGTTCAGCAAATGGCTGCTAGAAGAATACAAGAATTACAAGTCAGAATCTGATCCGCTGTTACACAAAAAACGAGATAATGATGGAAACACGCCTCTTGTGCTGGCTGTGCTGAGAAATCATCTTGAAACTGTTGGTTGGCTCGCCAGCATTGATCTGGCTTGTATGAAATTACAAAACAAAGACAAATTAAGCGTACTTCATGTCGCAGCTGCAAATGGCAAAACTTAAATTGCTTCGGTTCTCTTAAAATTGGTGAACTCATCGGACAAATGTTCATTGATTTCATCGCCAGATGACGAAGGCATGACGGCTTTCCACTGGTCGTGTTTAGAAGGTCATCTCGAGTTCAGCAAATGGCTGCTAGAAGAATACAAGAATTACAAGTCAGAATCTGATCCGCTGTTACGCACGATACGAGATAATGATGGAAAAACGCCTTTTATGCTGGCTCTGCTGAGTAATCATCTTGAAATTGTTAGTTGGCTCGCCAGCATTGATCTGGCTTGTATGAAATTAATAACAAAGACAAATTAAGAGTACTTCATGTCGCAGCTGCAAATGGCAAAACTGAAATTGCTTCGGTTCTCTTAAAATCAATGAACTCATCGGACAAAAGTTCATTGATTTCATCGCCAGATGACGAAGGCATGACGGCTTTCCACTGGTCGTGTTTAGAAGGTCATCTCGAGTTCAGCAAATGGCTGCTAGAAGAATACAAGAATTACAAGTCAGAGTCTGATCCGCTGTTACACACGATACGAGATAATGATGGAAAAACGCCTTTTATGCTGGCTCTGCTGAGTAATAATCTTGAAATTGTTAGTTGTCTTGCCAGCATTGATCTGGCTTGTATGCAATTACAAAACAAAGACAAATTACTAGTACTTAATCTCGCAGCTGCAAATAGCAAAACTGAAATTGCTTCGGTTCTCTTAAAATCGGTGAACTCATCGGACAAAAGTTCATTGATTTCATCGCCAGATGACAAAGGCGTGACGTGACGGCTTTCCACTGGTCGTGTTTAAAAGGTCATCTCGAGTTCAGCAAATGGCTGCTAGAAGAATATAATAATTAAAAGTCAGAATCTGATCCGCTGTTCCACACAATTCAATATAACAATGGAATCACGCCTCTTGTGCTGGCTGTGCTGAGAAATCATCTTGAAATTGTTGGTTGGCTCGCCAGCATTGATCTGGCTTGTATGAAATTACAAAACAAAGACAAATTAAGCGTACTTCATGTCGCAGCTGCAAATGGAAAAACTGAATTTGCTTCGGTTCTCTTAAAATCGGTGAACTCATCGGAAAAAAGTTCATTAATTTCATCGCCAGATGATGAAGGCATGACGGCTTTCCACTGGTCGTGTTCATTAGGTCATCTCGAGTTCAGCAAATGGCTGCTAGAAGAATACAAGAATTACGAGTCAGAATCTGATCCGCTGTTACACACAATTCAATATAACAATGGAATCACGCCTCTTGTGCTGGCTGTGCTGAGAAGTCATCTTGAAATTAATGGTTGGCTCGCCAGCATTGATCTGGCTTGTATGAAATTACAAAACAAAAACAAAATAAGCGTACTTCATGTCGCAGCTGCAAATGGCTAAACTGAAATTGCTTCGTTTCTCTTAAAATCGGTGAACTCATCGGACAAAAAATCATTGACTTCTCCGCCAGATGACAAAGGCGAGACGGCTTTTCACTGGTCGTGTTTAAAAGGTCATCTCGAGTTGAGCAAATGACTGCTACAAAAATCCAATAATTACAAGTCAGAAACTGATCCGCTGTTACACACGATACGAGATACTGATGGAAAAACGCCTTTTATGCTGGCTCTGCTGAGTAATCATCTTGAAATTGTTAGTTGGCTTGCCAGCATTGATCTGGCTTGTATGAAATTACAAAACAAAGACAAATTTATAGTACTCCATGTCGCAGCTGCAAATGGCAAAACTGAATTTGCTTCGGTTCTCTTAAAATCGGTGAACTCATCGGACAAAAACGCATTGATTTCATCGCCAGATGACAAAGGCGTGACGTGACGGCTTTCCACTGGTCGTGTTTAAAAGGTTATCTCGAGTTCAGCAAATGGCTGCTAGAAGAATATAATAATTACAAGTCAGAATCTGATCCGCTGTTCCACACAATTCAATATAACAATGGAATCACGCCTCTTGTGCTGGCTGTGCTGAGAAATCATCTTGAAATTGTTGGTTGGCTCGCCAGCATTGATCTGGCTTGTATGAAATTACAAAACAAAGACAAATTAAGCGTACTTCATGTCGCAGCTGCAAATGGAAAAACTGAAATTGCTTCGGTTTTCTTAAAATCGGTGAACTCATCGGAAAAAAGTTCATTGATTTCATCGCCAGATGATGAAGGCATGACGGCTTTCCACTGGTCGTGTTCAGAAGGTCATCTCGAGTTCAGCAAATGGCTGCTAGAAGAATACAAGAATTTTAAGTCAGAATCTGATCCGCTGTTACACACAATTCAATATAACACTGGAATCACGCCTCTTGTGCTGGCTGGGCTGAGAAATCATCTTGAAGTTGTTGGTTGGCTCGCCAGCATTGATCTGGCTTGTATGAAATTACAAAACAAAGACAAATTAAGCGTACTTCATGTCGCAGCTGCAAATGGCTAAACTGAAATTGCTTCGGTTCTCTTAAAATCGGTGAACTCATCGGACAAAAAATCATTGACTTCTCCGCCAGATGACAAAGGCGTGACGGATTTCCACTGGTCGTGTTTAAAAGTTCATCTCGAGTTCAGCAAATGACTGCTAGAATAATCCAATAATTACAAGTCAGAATCTGATCCGCTGTTACACACAATTCAATATAACAATGGAATCACGCCTCTTGTGCTGGCTGTGCTGAGAAATCACCTTGAAATTGTTGGTTGGCTCGCCAGCATTGATCTGGCTAGTATGAAATTACAAAACAAAGACAAATTAAGCGTACTTCATGTCGCAGCTGCAAATGGAAAAACTGAAGTTGCTTCGGTTCTCTTAAAATCGGTGAACTCATCGGAAAAAAGTTCATTGATTTCATCGCCAGATGACAAAGGCGTGACGGATTTCCACTGGTCGTGTTTAAAAGGTCATCTCGAGTTCAGCCAATGACTGCTAGAATAATCCAATAATTACAAGTCAGAATCTGATCCGCTGTTACACACAATTCAATATAACAATGGAATCACGCCTCTTGTGCTGGCTGTGCTGAGAAATCATCTTGAAATTGCTGGTTGGCTCGACAGCATTGATCTGGCTTGTATGAAATTACAAAACAAAGACAAATTAAGCGTACTTCATGTCGCAGCTGCAAATGGAAAAACTGAAGTTGCTTCGGTTCTCTTAAAATCGGTGAACTCATCGGAAAAAAGTTCATTGATTTCATCGCCAGATGATGAAGGCATGACGCCTTTCCACTGGTCGTGTTCAGAAGGTCATCTCGATTTCAGCAAATGGCTGCTATAAGAATACAAGAATTACAAGTCAGAATCTGATCCGCTGTTACACACAATTCAATATAACAATGGAATCACGCCTCTTGTGCTGGCTGTGCTGAAAAATCATCTTGAAATTGTTAGTTGGCTCGCCAGCATTGATCTGGCTTGTATGAAATTACAAAACAAAGACAAATTAAGCGTACTTCATGTCGCAGCTGCAAATGGAAAAACTGAAATTGCTTCGGTTCTCTTAAAATCGTTGAACTCATCGGAAAAAAGTTCATTGATTTCATCGCCAGATGATGAAGGCATGACGGCTTTCCACTGGTCGTGTTCAGAAGGTCATCTCGAGTTCAGCAAATGGCTGCTAGAAGAATAAAAGAATTTTAAGTCAGAATCTGATCCGCTGTTACACACAATTCAATATAACAATGGAATCACGCCTCTTGTGCTGGCTTGGCTGAGAAATCATCTTGAAGTTGTTGGTTTGCTCGCCAGCTTTGATCTGGCTTGTATGAAATTACAAAACAAAGACAAATTAAGCGTACTTCATGTCGCAGCTGCAAATGGCTAAACTGAAATTGCTGCGGTTCTCGTAAAATCGGTGAACTCATCGGACAAAAAATCATTGACTTCTCCGCCAGATGACAAAGGCGTGACGGATTTCCACTGGTCGTGTTTAAAAGTTCATCTCGAGTTCAGCAAATGACTGCTAGAATGATCCAATAATTACAAGTCAGAATCTGATCCGCTGTTACACACAATTCAATATAACAATGGAATCACGCCTCTTGTGCTGGCTGTGCTGAGAAATCATCTTGAAATTGTTGGTTGGCTCGCCAGCATTGATCTGGCTTGTATGAAATTACAAAACAAAGACAAATTAAGCCTACTTCATGTCGCAGCTGCAAATGGAAAAACTGAAGTTGCTTCGGTTCTGTTAAAATCGGTGAACTCATCGGAAAAAAAGTACATTGATTTCATCGCCAGATGACAAAGGCGTGACGGATTTCCACTGGTCGTGTTTAAAAGGTCATCTCGAGTTCAGCAAAAGACTGCTACTCGCGCTTGCTTTAAAAAATGCGGGAAACAAGTAGAGACACCACAACACGTGTATTATTTCTAACCTGACCGGAAAAGTTCTTTCCTTAAAGATTTAGAAACGTTTAGGCAGAAATATTGTGAAGAAAGTTATTTCCATGTCACTTGTCTCAGCAAGTTCGAAGATATAGTTAAGAAAAACTGGAGAAAAGCCACGTTCCTGGTTGACGAAGTATACCATACTGACTTTGGAGAAATCGAAGATTACCGCAAATACATTTCTCCAACCGTATGGGTAGCGTGTGTTGTTGGTGGTCAAAAGAATGTCCCTGACAGCCGCGAGTTTATTAGCTCATTCAAAACATGTTATCTCACGGTACTATACAGGAGTTCCGCGCATATATCTAGACTATCGACATACATTCTGAATAAATGGATATTACCAGCACTCGGTCCTTCGTCTGCTGTTCTCTTCAAATGCTTCTCATCGGGGAACAAAAAATCGTTCCAGTTGAAACGATTTTGGCCTTCAAAACAAGACCAGCAACATGTCATAAGTGAAATGGTTCGTTCTTTTTACTTTCCCATCATTTGTTGATCAAACCTTATACAGTTTTAATTGGTAAATATGCCTAATTCTTGTTTAATGTTACAGAACTCAAACTCAGTTGTATTCTCAGTTTATACAACACTCATTGACAACACGATACAACAAAAAGCAATGCTAATTAATGTTAATATGGAAAGTGTGTCTAAAATAGAAGATTTGGAATTCACTGGGGCAGAATGGGATCATGTTTGCATTTTTATTGGGAATGGACATCACCCTCTTCTTCTCTCAGTTGTTTACAATATGATAACACGAGCTGTGAAAAGCGTCATCATATACACGGAAAACTCGACAGTGTGTAACGTGATTGATGCTTATCATAACCATGTCGGCGACAAACTTGTTCAGCAAATTCGCATTGGCGATTTTCCCGAGATAACCGATGATATAAAGCAACATTTGATAGATGATACCAAGCTTGCATCCTCTCTTTTAGAAGTATTGTTTCTGAAAGGAGACTCCGAGAAACCACATGTATTTAATCTCATACAGTACATTATCCATCAACATAGAGACCATGCTTACAATTCTAGCAGTGTATGGCTGCCAGCGTTTTTCAAAACTCCCAAATGTAGACAATTTCTGAAACGCTGCAAGGAGCTACCCATATTAGCTGAGGTCATTAAGCAAACGGATTTGTCACATCTGATAAATTTGCTATCGTTTTGTTGTCACAAACCAACATTATTGCATACACTCGACATACTGGAAAGTTCTCAACGACAAACGTTTCTGAGAGACTATTGTGACCGCTTGTTTTTAAGATCGTGCTACAACGAGTGCGAGGACACTGTTCAGTGTCTGCTGGAACAGAACTCTTCTCTAGCGCTATGTAAATATCGAAAAAAAACTACGCCATTAATGATAGCTGCAAAAGTCGGAAATTTACGAATTGCCCGAATGATTCTGGATTTCACTCCCGATGAGGAACAAAATTCCTATATAGAGCAGAAAGAGGATACGGGCAAATCAATATTTTTCGTTGCTGCTAAACATGGTCATTTGAAGCTGCTCCAATATTTCCGCAACCGGCACAAATCGAAGGGGAAAAGTCAGCGAGAACTGCACACTATTGTCGATAATTTTGGAAACACGCCTCTTATGCACGTGGTACTGTGTAATAGCCTTGACATTGTTAGCTGGCTTGTCAGCATTGATCCGGATTGTATGAAAACACGAAACAAAAACAATAAAAGTGTACTTCATTTCGCAGCTTTAAACGGCAGTACTGAAATTGCTTCTGTTCTCTTAGAATCGGTGAACTCATCGGAAAGAAAATCATTGATTTCATCGCCAGATGACGAAGGCACGACGGCTTTCCACTGGTCGTGTTTGAGAGGTCATCTCGAGTTCAGCAAATGCCTGCTAGAAGAATACAAGAATTACAAGTCAGAATCTGATCCGCTCTTACACACAATACGAGATAATGATGGAACCACGCCTCTTGAGCTTGCTGTGGTGAGCAATCATCTTGAAATTGTTGGTTGGCTTGCCAGCATTGATCTGGTTTGTATGAAATTACAAAACAAAGAAAAATTAAGCGTTTTTAATGTCGCAGCTGCAAATGGCAAATTGAAATTGCTTCGGTTCTCTTGAAATCGGTGAACTCATCGGACAAAAGTTCATTGATTTCATCGCCAGATTAATAAGGCATGACGGCTAACCACTGGTCGTGTTTAGAAGGTCATCTCGAGTTCAGAAAATGGCTGCTAGAAGAATACAAGAATTACAAGTCAGAATCTAATCCGCTGTTACACACAATTCAATATAACAATGGAATCACGCCTCTTGTGCTGGCTGTGCTGAGAAATCATCTTGAAATTGAATTGTTGGTTGGCTCGCCAGCATTGATCTGGCTTGTAAGAAATTACAAAACAAAGACAAATTTAGCGTACTTCATGTCGCAGCTGCAAATGGCAAAACTGAAATTGCTTCGGTTCTCTTAAAATCGGTGAACTCATCGGACTAAAGTTCATTGATTTCATCGCCAGATGACGAAGGCATGACGGCTTTCCACTGGTCGTTTCTAGAAGGTCATCTCGAGCTCAGCAAATGGCTGCTAGAAGAATACAAGAATTAAAAGTAAGAATCTGATCCGCTGTTTCACACAATACGACATAATGATGGAAAAACGCCTCTTATGCTGGCTCTGCTGAGTAATCATCTTGAAATTGGTAGTTGGCTCGCCAGCATTGATCTGGCTGGTATGAAATAACAAAACAAAGACAATTTAAGAGCACTTCATGTCGCAGCTGCAAATGGCAAAACTCAAATTGCTTCGGTTCTCTTAAAATCGGTGAACTCATCGGAAAAAAGTTCATTGATTTCATCGCCAGATGACAAAGGTGCGTCGGCTTTCCGCTGGTCGTGTTCAAAAGGTCATCTCAAGTTCAGCAAATGGCTGCTAGAAGATTACAATAATTACAAGTCAGAATCTGATCCGCTGTTACATAGAATTCAATATAACATTGGAATCACGCCTCTTGTGCTGGCTGTGCTGAGAAATCATCTTGAAATTGTTGGTTGGCTCGCCAGCATTGATCTGGCTTGTATGAAATTACAAAACAAAGACAAATTAAGCGTACTTCATGTCGCAGCTGCAAATGACAAAACTGAAATAGCTTCGGTTCTCTTTAAATCGGTGAACTCATCGGACAGAAGTTCATTGATTTCATCGCCAGATGACCAAGGCGTGACGGCTTTGCACTGTTTGTGTTTAAATGGTCAAATTGAGTTCGGCAAATGGCTGCTAGAAGTATAGAATAATTACAATTCAGAATCTGATCCGCTGTTACACATAATTCAATATAACAATGGAATAATGCCTCTTGTGCTGGCTGTGCTGAGAAATCATCTTGAAGTTGTTGGTTGGCTTGCCAGCATTGATCTGGCTTGTATGAAATTACAAAACAAAGACAAATTAAGCGTACTTCATGTCGCAAATGCAAATGAAAAAACTGAAATTGCTTCGGCTCTCTTAAAATTGGTGAACTCATCGGACAGAAGTTCATTGATTTCATCGCCAGATGACCAAGGCGTGACGGCTTTGCACTGTTTGTGTTTAAAAGGTCAAATTGAGTTCGGCAAATGGCTGCTAGAAGTATAGAATAATTACAATTCAGAATCTGATCCGCTGTTACACATAATTCAATATAACAATGGAATAATGCCTCTTGTGCTGGCTGTGCTGAGAAATCATCTTGAAATTGTTGGTTGGCTCGCCAGCATTGATCTGGCTTGTATGAAATCACCAAACAAAGACAAATTAAGCCTACTTCATGTCGCAGCTGCAAATGGCAAAACTGAAATTGCTTCGGTTCTCTTAAAATTGGTGAGCTCATCGGACAAAAGTTCATTGATTTCATCGCCAGATGACAAAGGCATGACGGCTTTCCACTGGTCGTGTTCAGAAGGTCATCTCGAGTTCAGCAAATGGCTGCTAGAAGAATACAAGAATTACAAGTCAGAATCTGATCCGCTGTTACACACAATTCAAAATAACAATGGAATCACGCCTCTTGTGCTTGCTGTGCTGAGAAATCATCTTGAAATTGTTGGTTGGCTCGCCAGCATTGATCTGGCTTGTATGAAATTACAAAACGAAGACGAATTAAGCGTACTTCATGTCGCAGCTGCAAATGGCAAAACTGAAATTGCTTCGGTTCTCTTAAAATCGGTGAACTCATCGGACAAAAATTCATTGATTTCATCGCCAGATGACGAAGGTATGACGGCTTTCCACTGGTCGTGTTCAGAAGGTCATCTCGAGTTCAGCAAACAACTGCTAGAAGAATACAAGAATTACAAGTCAGGATCTGATCCGCTGTTACACACAATTCAAGATATCAATGGAAACACGCCTCTCATGCAGGCTGTGCTGAGTAATCATCTTGAAATTGTTAGTTGGTTTGTCAGTTTGATCCGGCTGTATGAAAATACAAAACAATGACAAAGTAAGCGTACTTCATGTCGCAGCTGCAAATGGCAAAACTGAATTTGCTTCGGTTCTCTTAAAGTCATTGAACTCATCGGACAAAAATTCATTGATTTCATCACCAGTCAACGGTGGCAGAAAGGCTTTACACAAGTCGTGTTCACAAGGTCATCTCGAGTTCAGCAAATGGCTGCTAAAAGAACACAAGAATCGCAAGTCCGAATCTGATCCGCTGTTATACACAATACGAGATAACGATGGAAAAACGCCTCTTTTGCTGGCTGTGCTGAGTAATCATCTTGAAATTGTTGGTTGGCTCGCCAGCATTGATCTGGCTGGTATGAAATTACAAAACAAAGACAAATTAAACGTACTTCATGTCGCAGCTGCAAATGGCAAAACTAAAATTGCTTCGGTTCTCTTAAAATCGGTGAACTCATCGGACAAAAGTTCATTGATTTCATCGCCAGATGACGAAGGCATGACGGCTTTCCACTGGTTGTGTTCAGAAGGTAATCTCGAGTTCAGCAAATGGCTGCTAGAAGAATAAAAGAATTACAAGTCAGAATCTGATCCGCTGTTACACACAATACGAGATTTTGATGGAATCACGCCTCTTGTGCTGGCTGTGCTGAGAAATCATCTTGAAATTGTTGGTTGGCTCGCCAGCATTGATCTGGCTTGTATGAAATTACCAAACAAAGACAAATTAAGCGTACTTCATGTCGCAGCTGCAAATGGCAAAACTGAAATTGCTTCGGTTCTCTTAAAATCGGTGAACTCATCGGACAAAAGTTCATTGATTTCATCGCCAGATGACAAAGGCGTGACGGCTTTGCACTGGTCGTGTTTAAAAGGTCAAATCGAGTTTAGCAAATGGCTGCTAGAAGAATACAATAATTACAAGTCAGAATCTGATCCGCTGTTACACACAATTCGATATAACAATGGAATAACGCCTCTTGTGCTGGCTGTGCTGAGAAAACATCTTGATAATGTTGGTTGGCTCGCCAGCATTGATCTGGCTTGTATGAAATGACCAAACAAAAACAAATTAGGCGTACTTCATGTCGCAGCTACAAATGGCAAAACTGAAATTGCTTCGGTTCTCTTAAAATTGGTGAGCTCATCGGACAAAAGTTCATTGATTTCATCGCCAGATGACAAAAGCATGACGGCTTTCCACTGGTCGTGTTCAGAAGGTCATCTCGAGTTCAGCAAATGGCTGCTAGAAGAATACAAGAATTACAAGTCAGAATCTGATCCGCTGTTACACACAATTCAATATAACAATGGAATAACGCCTCTTGTGCTGGCTGTGCTGAGAAAACATCTTGAAATTGTTGGTTGGCTCGCCAGCATTGATCTGGCTTGTATGAAATTACCAAACAAAGACAAATTAAGCGTACTTCATGTCGCAGCTACAAATGGCAAAACTGAAATTGCTTCGGTTCTCTTAAAATCGGTGAACTCATCGGACAAAAGTTCATTGATTTCATCGCCAGATGACAAAGGCGTGACGGCTTTGCACTGGTCGTGTTTAAAAGGTCAAATCGAGTTCAGCAAATGGCTGCTAGAAGAATACAATAATTACAAGTCAGAATCTGATCCGCTGTTACACACAATTCAATATAACAATGGAATAACGCCTCTTGTGCTGGCTGTGCTGAGAAAACATCTTGAAAAAGTTGGTTGGCTCGCCAGCATTGATCTGGCTTGTATGAAATTCCCAAACAAAGACAAATTAAGCGTACTTCATGTCGCAGCTGCAAATGGCAAAACTGAAATTGCTTCGGTTCTCTTAAAATCGGTGAACTCATCGGACAAAAGTTCATTGATTTCATCGCCAGATGACGAAGGCATGACGGCTTTCCACTGGTCGTGTTTAAAAGGTCAAATCGAGTTCAGCAAATGGCTGCTAGAAGAATACAATAATTACAAGTCAGAATCTGATCCGCTGTTACACACAATTCGATATAACAATGGAATAACGCCTCTTGTGCTGGCTGTGCTGAGAAAACATCTTGATAATGTTGGTTGGCTCGCCAGCATTGATCTGGCTTGTATGAAATGACCAAACAAAAACAAATTAGGCGTACTTCATGTCGCAGCTACAAATGGCAAAACTGAAATTGCTTCGGTTCTCTTAAAATTAGTCAGCTCATCGGACAAAAGTTCATTGATTTCATCGCCAGATGACAAAAGCATGACGGCTTTCCACTGGTCGTGTTCAGAAGGTCATCTCGAGTTCAGCAAATGGCTGCTAGAAGAATACAAGAATTACAAGTCAGAATCTGATCCGCTGTTACACACAATTCAATATAACAATGGAATAACGCCTCTTGTGCTGGCTGTGCTGAGAAAACATCTTGAAATTGTTGGTTGGCTCGCCAGAATTGATCTGGCTTGTATGAAATTACCAAACAAAGACAAATTAAGCGTACTTCATGTCGCAGCTGCAAATGGCAAAACTGAAATTGCTTCGGTTCTCTTAAAATCGGTGAACTCATCGGACAAAAATTCA